GATTTCAAATGGAGATGTGTATACTTTAAAAACCGCTTTGAGTGTATCTAAAACCCAAAGAGTGGCAGCAGAGTGGAGACAACCGTGAAACGAGACCCGCGTGTGGCCCCAGCTGTTGTTGCAACGCGTCCCATTAATCAAGGCACCCAGTGGCTCCAAGCCCACCCACTCAACCCCTTCGATTTGGTCCGCAGTGGGTGCGGGATGGGTGCCCCATCCTCAAAGCTAACGTCATCACACATCTCGCACATCCAGGGGATGGCCGAAAAATCATTGTTGACATTTGTAATTAGAATTGATAGCAAGCAGACAGACAGCCGCCCCTAAAAAGGGGTTGGTCGGCGTGAAGGGGATGGGGGAAGTTGGGGATGGTTAGCCAGGGATTCAGACGTTAAACTAATTTCGTTTTCGTTTTTCCAAAGCTCCAGCCAAAGCGATATGCGCACTTTGCGCTGGGGCTCTGCACGTCCATCATTTGTTAAACTTTTGCTTCTTTTTGCCGTACCGAACTGTGATTGGAAGGAGATGATAGCATGTGCGTGGGATTTGCACTGAGCAAAATTGTAGAGAAGTTCGTTTGCCAATAGTGCGATCTCTTCAACCTTAAAATGCATTTTCTTTAATCAAAGGATTCTAGGAATAATTTGAAATTATATAAATGTGTAAGAAACTACACAGGAATTTCTCCAGGTGATCGATAAATGCGGGCTAGCAAAATAGCAGAACACACAATCACGCAGGTCAATTGAAAGGCATTTCACTTGGAGAATGACAGCAACTAAGCTTCAGTCTGCACTTTCACTCGATTGGGGCTGTCAGTGGGTGGCGATGGGCGTTGAAGGTGGGGCGCTGGGCTTTTGGGTGGCCAACTCAAAAGCTGGCTTTGATTTCACTTTCGCCTCGACTGCTGTTGACATTTGCCCCATGAACCCCTCTTCAGGACCTCAAGTGTCGTAGATATGCGTCGGTGTGCTGGGCATCAAACTAATTTTCCCCCTGTTTAGAGTTCTTGAACGTGACACAAGTCTGCACTCGGGCCACGCCCACTCCTGGCCACATGCGCCCACTCCCCACCCCCCCGTTTGGGCCATTCCCATCTGGCTTGGCTTCGACAGGCCTCCGACTGTCTCTGGTCAGTGGTTTTCAACTGATTTGAAATCATTTTAACCCAAATTGCATACAATCGAGTTTGCCAGCAGGCGGAATCCCGACATCCTTTCCGCACACTTCAAACGGAGGAGCACAAATGTTTTGCCTGCGTTTGGGTTTGGGCTTGGGCCTGGACGCAAAGGCGTTGATGGAACCTCTTTGGCAGAAGCGGGTGGCTGGATGGGACTGGGCTAATGGATTAGGGTAGGTGATTTGAAAAGCGAAAGCAATTGAAGCAGCGAGTGTTGCGGGACAGCGATTCATTGGGTCCACTTTCTATTTTTTATTCACCTATTAAGTTTATTTATTGCATTTTATGTGGTAGCAACAACTTAAAATAGAACTGAATGTGGGATAAAGGCTGGAGGTGCTTTCGTTACTCTTGTTCTCCGCTGATGACCGCGCCATTAAGCCGCTTTCTTGTACCTTTTCGCTTTTAGTCATAACTTGGAACGTGGAGAAAAAGGAAGATTCTGCAAAGATTTACATAGTTAACTAACTTTCTGCAACTGCAATCATAGTTACAACTAGCCTAAGTCCCCCCACCCGTCTCCCCCTGCGGCATTAGGGGAAAACTTTTCACATTAACCGAAGTGCAGCTATTAAAAATTCATTAATTGTGTGCAACTGCAAAAAAGAGCAACAAAATCAAGGCAAAAATTCGCTGGAAAAGTTTAATTGATTTGTGAGCGTTAAAATGGTAAAATAATTGATAGATGGTCGAAAGGGATGAGTTTTAGGGTAGGACGTTGGGGCCAGCCCTTAATGAGAATGCCCTGCAGAAAGAGTTGAAAAGTTGTTGTTTATTTCCAGCATTATTTTTTTGCATTTTATGCGCTACTCTTTCTATTAATTAGAAAACTTTTACCGCAGCAGAGGGAAATGAAATTTTTTGCGAATTGAATTTGCAATTTTGAATGGGAAAGCCGGAAAATGGCAAATGAATTGTGAAAAAGTGGTAAGCTTGTCTCGGCAATAGACGAGCGAGTATTACACATATTTCATCAACAATTTGATCGTCAAAGTAATTGAAAACGCATGCATCGATGATGGCCAAAAAGCGAATTGCAATTTTGTATGTTGGCCAAAACCATTTTGGGGCCACTCATCTATGTTGGCCCGGCCAGCCGCAATATAAATTTGATGGCCAGTTCTGTGTCTCATCCCCTGGATACGAAAATGCAATGGAAACCCGATGCAGCCAACCCGATGCACTTTGCCAGCAGTTTAATTACCATTTTGGCGCTGCAAGTGGGGCAATTCAAAGAGCTTTTGATATTTTCAGCAATTTTCCACAGGCAACGAAGAAATAACCATGTCAGTTGGCTATTATCTTCACTTATTTATTTCTATTCTAAGTCACATATTCTAGTTTCACTAAATTCTCAAATTTCTCATCGTGTCTTTTAATTATGTCTCGATGACTTTGTCAGTAAGGTAGAAGCCATTTTATAAAACAAATCATGTGGCACCATTGTCTTTGATAATAACTACTAGTCATGGCTGCAATTGCTCGGTCTACCTGTCGATTTATTGAAAATTGTATTTGCTCTTCAGGAAAATAATTTGACTAAGCGCTAAACATACAATTATATCGTTGGTAAAATCAATTTCTCTAAACAGAAATAGAAGTCATGACTTTTCTGATTTAATTTCTGATTTCTCGTGATCTAAAAATAAATTCGTTTAAATTTCAAACTCCAGTCACCTCCTCAAAGAACCAACTTTAGCCACTGAGCCCGGATATTCCGAGAGCCAAGGCAAAGAAGTCCGGTGCACAAAATCATCATTGCTGCTCACTAAATTATGCAAAATTGTACAATTATGTTAATTAATTGACGCAGCCAGCCAGGCACTCCCACTGCTGCCCCTTGGCCAATTAGCGCCATAAAACGCAGGCCAAGCGATTGTCAGGGATTTTATTTTGGCCTCCCAGGAAAGCAACAAAAGTGGAAAGCCACTCCAAAAAAAACCGAAAATGAAAATATATATGAGTGCCACGCCCGCCGCTTGTTAACCTTACATAATTAGCTACAAAAATGTTCGTTGTGTTTAGAACAAAAGCGCAGCGCATTGCAGAAATTTCCACAGTCCTTTTTGGCTTTCCCGAAAATCTGCCAACTGGCTTTATTAATTCCATAATTCAGGAAGGGCAGAGCGGTTGTAATGCGAAAAGTCGGGAGAAAAGCCGTAGTCCCCTGTCTGGGCTTAATTATTGGAAAATTAATGAAACTGCCATGTTAGATGTTTTCATATTTCCGGTGTGTTCCACGTTTCGCATGATTAATAGCCTTTAAAAAGAAATGAGGGCTTGGCTTGCTGAATGAAGGGTTATCTTTTGTTTTTCCCCCTTTCCCACAATGTGCGAAATATTTCATTTTATTTTTATCTCGCAGACTTAAAGTTTAAGCAATATAATTTGTTGATTTATAAGTACCTAAAGGCTTTTTACGATACGAATACTTTAAGAGGCATCTTTATGTGGGAGATGTGAGCTGTGCACTTATGTATACTAACAAATATATCCATGGTGCATATTTGCCAGCAGGTAGCCCACTTTCATATGCACCACCAAAGGTAAATATTTGCACTTGTAAATGACATTCACGTCTGCCAATCCGCCCCCTTTCACTCGGCGCCTCTGGCCCACATTTGGGGTCTTTGTTTTTGCTTCTTCAATTGCTCCACTTTATGTTTGAGCTGAGTGGGACTTAAGGGGGTGATGGAGGTGGTGACATTTTTTCACAAAAACCCAAACATATTGCGGACATTGCCGTGTATATTTCTCATAAATCGGCTTAAAAAGCGAATGTAAAAAGGGACCCGCAAAAGTGCATTTGTTTTATGCACCCCTGAATCAGACATCATATCGCATACCCCCATGACCCCTTGGGGTCACATACGTTCGCCTTCTGCGTACGCAATTTCACGCAGCACATGAAGCTTTTCATATTTCACATTTTCACATTTCATTTCAACTGGAGGCGAACCCAGTTGCCCCGAGATGAGTCGAGGAGAGTCAACTGGGCTTGACTTATTTTTAACGTCGTTATTTTGGTTGAAGGTGCCTGATGCGGCAGGGTATGCAGGATTCGCAAAGTGCCTGCTTCAAATAATCAAAGAGAGCTGCTTCAAATAATCCTAAATATTTGGGAAACCCAAATTATCAAAGATAAGGCTGTACTACGTTTTTCTGTAATGCATAGATCTTGGACGTACTGAGTACCACCCTGGTCATCATCCCATCTCCACTCCCGACTGGTGTTCCTCGTGCTTCCCCAGGACACTTGTTGTATGATTGCATGGTTGTGTTGCGTTGTTTTGCCTGTTGTCGCTGTCAGTGTCAGCTGTTGAGATTTATGAAGTGCAACATGCCAGGACTAAAGATTGAGGGGTAAAAAGATTGAGCGCCGGCGGAAAGAGGGATGGGCGAATTTATCTACGCCTGCAACCTGACGGCACTTCGCTCACTCCGAAATCCTGGCGAAGGACTCGTTATTTAGGGGCTTTCAGATGAAGCCTTGGCCCAGTTTTTGAAGTGGCGAGAATAGTGTTTGAAATTAAAATAAGGATGCTTTCTTAAATTTTCCAAAGATTAAATAAAATTTTAACAATCAGGAAGGGGGTGAAAAAAGCACTTGCATAATCTGAGACCTTCAAGCGAAAGAGAGATGGGAAAAATGATGCAAAGCAAAGATTGCGTAATCAGCGTTAATGGGGCAGGAAAAAGGGTTCTTTTTACCGCTGATTTGGCTAATTCAATCCAGTTTTCGCCAGCCAATTTGGCTCTTAATGATGACTAACAGTGCTTAATTTCTACTGAAATAACTTTTTCTGTCTCTTCATTTCAGCCCGCAACGACCCACAGGATGATACAGAGGTGGATAAAGTTCAGCCCGAATCGGATTTCAATAACTTCAGCGGCGTCATCGATACCGGCTCCGGGTATCCCTTCCTTCAGCCGCATCCTTCGAGCTTGAATGTGGGCTTCTTCGACTCCTTCGATGGTGAGTAGCGCGCGTCACACGCGGCGTATGCGTGATGCAATGCTTAATCGGCTTGAGCATTTATAATGATATTTTAATTAAACAATATTTTAATGGGTCGTCCAAGCTGCATGCAACATGCAATTATATGACTCGCATGCGCTTAATGTCGTCATTATAATTCTGCTTAACGATGATCGAACGGTTGACATATTACGTATACGTTACATTGGCGCGGTTGAACCGAGCATTTTGGCTGTGCAAAAATGTTTGTAACGCCAACATTTTAACTACCACGTTTTAACAATATTTCTGACTTAATTATGCATCATAATTCCGAAAGATCCTGTTTCTAGCTCGTTTTTGAGTGGGCAGTGTATTAGAGCGGTGGACTTTGATGTTGATTATTGCTGGCCATGGCTTAAAAAAGCCATCCCCTGGGCCAAGCCAATTAGCCAATGTCCTTTGGGGACTTAACTTTTAACTTATCCATCTCTTTTTCTGCGTAGTTCCCACTCCATCCCACGGCAGTGAAATGAAAAACAATTTATCAAAATATTATGTCAAGTTCTTGTAGCCAGACAAAGTTTATTTATGCTCTTGTATTTATTTCTATATTTATGGTGGACCCAAGAGAGTGGCGTGGAGTAGGTCAAACAAGTCTGTTGACCATTAAAAGTGAAAAGTTTTGCGCCTCTTCTTGCCAATTTGTGCTTAACTGAGACCATAAGACATCGCAGATGACGACGATGAAGCTGAAACTTCATAAATCTTCTCCTAATACGTTCGAGGTCGAGGGGTAGGATAAAAACTTCCAAAAGCCTTGGGCATTGTATATGCATAAAAGTTGTTATATTCTTTGTTGTCTTATTTTTTGGGTCGGGGGCTTGAAGATTGCAGGTCAATGATTACGAAGCGTAGAAAATGGCATATCTGTCTGATGGAAAGTGGAAGGTGGCGGTGCCGAACAAAGTTACTTGTCAGCGAATTATTTCTGATAAAACAGGATCAATTTCATAGAACTGCGAAGGGGCTAACTTTTTGCTTTAAAGTGTATGTGATGTATGTATTTTATAGAGGGAGAGCATTTTCTGGGCCGTAAACTATTTCACGCTGCTATTTAAACGCATTAAAATGCAGCAAGCAAATGAATTTGTCGACAAACGGCAATCAGCAACCGGGCCAAAACAAAGTCGTGCAAGCAATGCGGTCAAGAATTTATGGCAAGGTTGAAGACAACAAAAAAGCCACTGAAAAAGGCCAAAGAACTAAGCAGAAGACAGACTTATAGACCAGAATGGGGAGGGGTGGCAGCCAGGCACTGAGGATTACAAAAGTGCAGACAAGAAAATGACAGAGACGCCGGCGACACAGAAAACGCTTTTTAGTGCGTTTACGGATTAGGGATTTTCAAGTTGAAAAATACATTAGCAGCAGGCAGGGACGACAACGGAATGCCTCTTGCTTCTCAAGGATTGAAATATAGATAGAGACTCAAGGGAAATTTCATGAGCCAGTCTAGACCAGAAACACCTGTTCCGTTTCCCAGCGAAGGTTTGCATTTCTGTAGTTTTAGCAGCGCGGTACGTTGCTTCTTCGATTTATTCAAACCGAAATAATCTTACAAAATGTTATAAGAGATATGAAGCCTTTTCCAGATATTCCGATTAATTGGTAATTAAATATATTCTAAAGATATCTTCCGCCGTCTGCGCGCCCGTCTGTGGCCCGTGATTGCCAGCGATTCTGGTGAGGATGGAGCTGCTCGAACTGGCGCCTTTGACGACTCCAGTGATGGCAGCATAGCAGGCTCCCTATTTGGACTGCCTCCAATCAATCCGCTGGATTCCCAGAAAGCCAACACTACTTCCACCATTAAGGTAGGAAAACATATTTAACTGCAATGCATGTTAATGAAATAGTCCTATTGATTGGCTTGAGAGTCATAACTAATACAACTCACCACCAGGTTGTCGATGGCCATAAGGTTGAGATCAACGAGACGGTGTATGGTGATAGCAACAGCGTTTTCAAGGTGCGATTGGTGAATGTGCGTCCTTTGGAGAGCGGCGAGGAGGTGGCCCAGGGAGTTCACACCAGTGGAGGTGACTTCCAGCCGGCGGTGAATCCCAGCACCTCTGCCCCGTCCAAAAAGTTCGAGGAGTTCGACGAGGAGGACGACGATGATCGGCGCGAGCCGCTGGAGAAGCAGCCGCAGGAAAACGAGGTGCTCAACATTGAGGTATAAACTTATTTGCGACAAGCAAAAAACAAAGAAACATATTCTTTGAAAGACATTTAACCTGGAAATGCTTGGCAAGCGCTCTACTAACCAATAAAAAACACGAATTGTATATTGATAACTTTCTATAACTTGTAATATACCTATCTATATACAGATTTCTATTCTTTTTTAAATAAAGTTTTCCATAAAACTAAGCAGTACACATCGTATATACCTACTATAGAAATTGCCTGCGTTTATTTTATTATACTAAATATTATATCTACAAATAATGCAACTGAAATAACACATTATTGGGGAATTGGTTTGGTTGCGGTATGCTTTTATATTTCATTCACTTCTGTTTGCTTAAAGCTTTTATTTGATTCTATGCTCTTTATTTTTAATGCAGTGTTTTTTTAGTTCCATTTACTCTATAATTAAGTTTTGCTAATTTGTCAGGCCAATAATCTGTTCAAACCGCAATCGTAAATATTTTATTAACCCGACAAAATGTTTAATTGTACAATTAGATGGTTTTTTCTTCCTATCTGATAACGATTTTGCAGTCATGTAATATGCATATTGGTTCATTGGGCTTGTGAGTAATTTGATCCTTTTTTTCAATGGCATTGCAGTGCATCTAAATTAATAATGCAAACAAATTATAGTTTGTGGCCACATTATTAAAAAATAGATGCAACAAAATATTATGCAAATTTGTAGACAAGTAAAAAGTTAATGTGATGAGAGAGAAACAAATATATTTATTCTGTAATTGACAGCTGGAATTGAATCATGACAAAGTAACGCACAATAAGTTAGGGCTTAACTGAGATTATTTTAAAGTTCATATACATCCAGCAATAGAAAGAAAACTCTTATAAATGTTTCAGGCAGAAAAGCTACATTGTTCACGTGAAATCGTACGGACGGACATATGGACATACGGACAAGGGTATAGAGCCTTTGTTGCGTTGCAAACTTCTGGCATTAATCATTATACTTTCTGTCAGGGTATGTGAATACTTTCCTGCCCCAAAACCTGGCCACCCTGGCAATTGGTCACTGCCACAACCGATTCTTTAGCGGTCCATGCATCACATGCGACCATTTTTCTTGGCATTTTTGTTGCAAGTCCATTAATTACTTTTAGTCCATAATAAAAATTAATTTTTATTAAAAGTCACGCGCTCCGCTCGCATAAATCCTTGTCTTGGGTCGCGGTGGGCGTGGCTGGTGGGCGGAGGCAGGGCCGTATTTATGAGAATTTATTGTGTCGAAATCGACGAGTACCGGTTGGATAAATTTGTTGCAGCTTTTTGTGTACCGGCATAAATCAGCGAGAAATTAATAAATGGCCGTAAAAAAATTGCAATGTTGCGTAAAGCGCAATTATTAACAACTTTAAAGTTGTAAGTGACATGTCAACGTTTAAATACGCTATTTTAAATTTAAATATTGCCAGCGGTGACATTTTCATGCCCGCAACGGAAGCAGGAGGACGGGAAAAATAAAAACTATTCGCACAAGTTGCGAAAGGCAGTCGATTTGTTTTTATATTTCCATTTAAATTTTTTGTGTGTTCAACTTTATATTTCATCTCGCGCGGATATTGAAAGTTGTGGTTTGTGTTGTGGGTGGGCAAACGGCCTGGCTTCTCATGCGTTTATTTGAATTTAATATTCATGGTTATAAATATTAATACACATGGAAGGGAGTTTTGGGGGGTCATGGCAGAAGCACGGCAATAACTACTTCTCCAGCTGCATTGAAATATTGCAAAATGGTTTAAGGCTGTTAAACAATTTGGCGTTTGACGCTTTTGCAAAAGGCATGTGCTATAATCGCAATCGAACAATGTGAACATATTACTTACTAAAAACTGGATAAAACCAATTGCACATTCCCTAAAATAATTAAAATATAATATCATACCTATCTATTATTTTTTACTTAAATGAAATGAAAATTAAATGAAATAAACTGTACATATGTACATACGTAAAGAGATGCCCTATAGCAATAAATTGTAAATAACTCATTGGCTGCGCAAGAACCGTTGCCATATTTAGATAACAAATAAGAATAATCATCCAAAAGGTAATTACTCAAACATCGCTTTGAATTCTCGGGAATTTCCCAAGAAATAATCTCGGTGACTCAGTCTTCGTTGATCTGCATAAAGACTATAGTAAGTAAGCGGTACACCCCACCGGCTTTGTTCCATCTCAGTCTACCCCGATTTCGAAGCTCTTCCGTTGTGATAAATCTTCTGATATACATACATGATACTAAGGTGATCCCAAAAACCGAAATACACAAATGCGTAAAATGTTGTCGGCATTATTAATGCGAATTTCTAAGAAAATACTACGAGTGTAGAGCAAAGTTGTACAAAAATCGCCAGGGGAATGAATGACGAGATGAGTGAGAGGGAACTATTTTGAAAGCTGATTTAACAGACAGGGAAGGTGACTCACTAATTGAGCGTGAGTAACGAACGAAAATAATGAATGAAGCCAAAAATGAGAGAATTATATCTAAACACGGGAGAAGAATTGCTGATAAGTGTATCTGTTAACAGCGTCATGTTTCCTGCTCATTCGCACGCGCTGCGAATTAGCATTCGCGGTAGGCTGCTGTTAATGTCCCCCTCTCTTTCCCTTTAACATAGTTGCCATTGTGCTATAAAAGTTTAAGCTCGACTTGCCGGCAGTTCAGTCAAAGAATTGATCACTACGAGTGAAGAGGTGTCATCATTGTGAGTGCTCAAGCAAATAAAAAATACAATTAATTCGCCACATTTGTAAAAAATTAAGAACTGATTTTAAAGTTAATATTACTTTATTTGCATTCTGCATGTTGCTGCTAAATTAAAAGTTAACCAATTCCTAACAGAATAGATCGGAAAAAGCCATCAAACATTAATTTCAACTTTCTATCATTGTTTATTTCGCACACACGCACACATATGCACCACTACACTCACAACGAATCGATGCACAGTCCACCACACCAACAACCACCACAAGTTATCCCACAAATCCTCACACCAGCTCACCCATAGACTCCGAATTCGAAGCTTCTGATATCAGTGAGGATATAGCGGAGCCCTTACCGGAAGGACAAAAGAACACCATGGATCAGCTGCAGCAAATGATGTCATCCGTGCGAGAGGAGATCAGAGATGAGGAGGAATTCGGGCAGGATCACGAGGACAAGGAGTACTTGGAGAAGAAAGAGAAGAAGGAGCGCGAAGAATTCGATTCCTCAGACGATGAGGACGGCGAGTCTACAACTCCGGTCGTGATGAGCGATACATTCAACGATGAGTGGGCCGAATTCGATCAGGATCAAGGTCGAGACCAGGATCCGAATGAGGATCAGGTTGCCGAACTGGACATTGAAAACGATCTTAGCAACGATATCGATATCGAGGAGAACTTTGGGCCCATTGACCTATCCAACGACATAGCCGTCAACGATGTGGCTGCCGCAGATCCCCATTTTCCCATTAATGCCGATGCCGAGTTTATTGTGCACCCAGCTGTGGTTAGAACTATGCCCATGTTCGAAAAGCTTTCCTTAGGAGAGCCTGCGAAATGAGGATTCTATAGGATTCAACTAGTCTAGGCATTTTCTTTAATCTTAACTTCATAGCTTGTAAACATAAATCGAGGATATCTCTGAGAGATCCAAAGAAATCGGCGCTCACATCATCCGTAATGTATCTTATTTATTTTCACAAAGAACGAGTATTATGTGTGCAAAGTGGCATTGGAAATTATTTATTGTTAAAATACAAGAAATCAAAAGTAAATTTATTAATATAAATAGGCCTTTCGATAATAGGTTTAATTTATAATGAAGTGAAATAAAATATATGCGATGTCTTTGATAATTCGGACTACTATAAAAATGAACGCCATTAATATGACAATTTCAGCTGAACAGATTATTCCACCTTGATAAGGTCTTGATTCAATCTGAACAATTTAATTGATTAACCACTTTTACGCAGAGCTCAAAAAGCTTTAAAAAATGTGCAGCATATTTTCAGGCTTTTGCTGGAGATTTCAGTGGTTTAAATTGAGTACGGGCATAAAACGCCTGATAGGCATTATATGCCTCATTAGTTTTCCCTGCATTAAATAAAAGCACTAGTTAATTATTTTTTCCATACTATGCATCGAGGTAATTAATTGTGGCCAACTTATGGTTAACTTAATTGCCTGTTATTCTTTTGTCAAACAAAATCATCGGCCAGAAGAGCTTATTAATTGCTGAATTATAGCTTCGGAAAATTATCCGCAAAATCATCCGATTGTCCTTGCAAATGACCAAGTCCTTGCATATCGAAAGATCAGGATGTAGTACATATATATACCACTCTTAACTCAAGAAGTACTTAATAATATTCCATTAAATGAAATTCTGAACCGTTATAACAAAAAGATAAAAGTCTATATAGTTTGCCGTTGTACTTTGAAAATGCTTTAAAAAAGTACCTATTGAAAATAATTGCACGAATGAAGCGAAATTGAAGCGAGAATGGTACAGAATTACTTTTAAATTTCGCTTCGGTTGGATGTCTACCGTTTGGGGGCTTGCAGGCCCATTGAATGCATAAGTGGCAGACATATTTGTGCATTACAACGAGAGCTGCCATCCTCATCATCATCAGCACGATCCGGTGAATAAAGGATGTAAACTGTTTTTGAGCTCATCGGAGTGTGAGTAAAAAGCATATCAGTAATTATGGCTCCTGTGCTCCCAATCCGTGATTCTTCATACTGGTCTGGATGGGACGGGCTTTTGGGGCCTTTCAAGTGCTTCTCTTCACCTGTCTGCTGAATGGCATTTCATCCCATCCTCATTTTTGCGTGTATTTGCTTTGACCGGTGCAATGATTGCAACTTTTCAATTTTTATTTACAAAAGCGAAACAAAGGCTGGCAATGTCTGTATAAAATGAGCTCCATATGGCCGTATCGTTCGTCCGCTGAAAACAATGCGATGGTGATTTTAAATCAATATATACATATAATGTATTACATTTTAATATATTATATTTTTACATCTACGAGTCTAGTAATGGTACTATTTACTGCTCCTATCAAGAGCCTGCTTTCTTAAGCAACAAATTGTCTGCCCACAGTAATACTAAGATATAAATTAAAAATCTTTAAAATAATTATAGAATTAATTCTTGTATTTGTTTTTCTAAGGGTATAGATCGGATTTAACTTAGAACACTGACGCCTTCTCCTATGTTTTAATTCATCACGCCTTTGTTGCCAAGTGTGCAAACGTGCGAACGTGGGCAACAAGGGGTTAAGGGTACACGGCAGTCACGGATTTGGCAGAGATTAGCGCTCCGTTCTTGTGGCTTTGTCGGTTTTGCTTTAGTTTTCGGTTGCTGGAGCTGAAGTTAATTAATTTTCGCTTATTTGATTGTTTGCCAGGTGAAATGCGTGTGCATGATTATAAAAGGTTGGTAATCTCAGTTAAGTTTTAATGCTAGTTTACAAGCAACGTAATTTAACATCATAATGAATATGGAAAGGTTTCAACGGTTGGGCAATTAGGTGATTCTATTTTTTCTTGTTATGGTGATCTTTCTCGATGCGTTTTAGAATGTCATCCATGTTGTTGATCAACTTTTCCAAAATTTCCTCCAGGAGGCCCACACGGTTATTGAGACTAAAATGAAACTGGTTGGTGAAAGGTCAAGAAAAAAGAATTCGATTCTTACCGAACCATCTCCTGGTTCTCTCCTTGTGGAATATCCTGAAAGTACTGTTGCCTAAAATATAGTTAGTTACAATGATTGGCAAGAAATGGGTAAGACTAAAGCGAAATTACTCGGCTGGTGTCATGTGCTTTCGCATTTCATGTGCCTCATCCTGCGCAGCGCCCACATCATGATACGCATCCTTGTCTTCGGTTACAGACGCTTGAGGATGAGGGCGTCTCTTCCGCCCACAATGGGTGATCCAGTAGAGCATGCCCGCCAGTTTCCTGTAGATATACGATCCCAAGTGACTGCGTCCTTGGGTGATCTCACCCTTCACCGTATTGTACGTCTCCATGATGATAGCCAGGAACATGTTCTATGTAAGTAGAAGTCTCACAGTTATGCTAACTTATTGTTTAACTGGCCAAACCAACCAACAAAATGAAGAACACAAGCAGGATGTAGGTGAGGAAATAAATGGGACCCAGCACACGATTCGCTTGCTCAATGAGGTTGTACTGAAAGTCGCCAAGGATCATCCTTATCATGGTCAAGATGGAGGTTATAAAGTTACGGAAGTCTGGATGCTTAGTGCCAAATAGAAGTAGGCCCAATTGGGCATAGGCCAAAAACACAATGCCGAACATCAAACTGAAGCCAGCCAAGTCCTTGGAGCACTAGAAGAAGATTTACCCATCAGAAATGAAGTGCTAGGCTTATTTTTGTGGAACAAACCCTTTTCAGTGTTGTTGTGAACTGCACCAGTGTCTTGTTGAAGCTGATGAACTTGAATATTTTAATCCACACAAGAAAGGCCAGAATGGCCATCATATCGACATAAATGATGTTCCAGAAACATAGAACGTCCAGACTTTGGTAGGTGGGATCTGTGTGGGCTCTGGCAGTGAGGGACATGACTTTAAAACTGTGCCAGATGTTGTACACTAAGGCTAGGTAACAACCCTTGAAAAGTAACAAGTTTAAAGGTTAAGACGGTTGGAACTAACGTATTAAGAAAGACAGGACTTTACCAGTAATATAGCGCAATCGAGAATGTTCAGCATCGAAAAGAAGTAGATTTTAATTCCAGATTTGCGAAGTTCAGTGATTTCATAGATGGTGTAGTAAATAACCATAATATACCAGAAAATGTAGATAACCGTCATGAGCATACTGCGGTCCGTAAAGAAGGAGTACTTTTTCACCGTTTGAAGATGGGCTTGTGGTATAACACCACCCGTGGGCGGAATCTCCGCTATCAACCTACAAGTATAACACATAAAATATACATAGAACACTGCCATTTGAACTTACTTAACGCTCTGGAAGATGTCCGTGTTTTCGTTAAACAAATTGAACTCAACCAAACAGAGGCGTGAGCCGCGATCCAGCCAGTGATCTTCCTTCAGATCGTTTATGATCTTCACATTTGTTTCTTTTTCGTAGGCCAAGTTCACCGTGTATCCGCCGGTGCGGTAGAAGGCCAGTACCGTCCAGATGGGCGTGGAATCCAGGTCGTTCATCGTCCGGAACGGGGAACCCTTGTGCGTCGCCTTACGGTCCTCGGCTCCGGCGGAATACGCAGCATAGCAGGTGTTGAAGTACCGGATAAAGGCGTCGTTCACGTAGCAGCTTTCCTTTCGCACTCGAATCTGCCGGAGACGTGGCGGTCCCAAGAGCAGGTTTTCATATAGGAAGACGCGCCCCTGCAAGGAAAGTATATCAAATTTACCCCACATTTACATCTCATTGCCAACTATACGATGATTTCCATGATTTCGATGGTTTAGCTCACCTCCAGATGATGCGCGCTTATGTTGGCGGGATCAAGTTTTGAATATTCGCGAGATACATCTTCGCTGCCGTCCTCGCTGGACTCATCGGATGCCTGTCGCTTAGCTCTGCCATGCCCCCGTAGGTCAATGTACGGATTTCCATTATATTGGAAATCCTCTTGCAATCTGCCCACTTCTGGGGAATTTTCAGGCGATCCCGCCCCACTATCTTCGGGTGATTTTTCAGTTACTGGCGGTGGCATTGGGATTTCTGACGTGTGATTGTGATTATCCATAAAAGTCAAATCGCCGTGGAGTGTTACAAGAAAGTTGTATTTGAGATAGTCCCACCAATCCGGCACGGTAATAAGTTTCTCAAAACCAACCGTCACCGAAGGAGCCACCACCATTTCCCGATTCGTGAATAGTCTCTTCATCGTGTCGTTGAAATAAAACATATAAGTATGCCGAACGGACAAAACAACTTGGAGATACGCAAGGATCACAATTAAACTAAATTAAAAATTTCTAATTTCTGCTCTCTATACTTACCCAGAGATGTTAGAATCAGAAAAATTATGAACACAGAGAACTCCACGAGGGCTTCGCGTACCTCCTCATCGGTTGTGTACAGAATGCGGTTGGTTTTGGCCCTATTTTGGAGGGCTGAAGCCGCGGTTACCGAAGGCAACCTATGTCCACGGCCTGGGGTCCGTGACGCATCTGAGTCTTTGGGTTTCTTCTTCCTTTTAAAGAAGCTTAATTTCTCCGTCTCTGGTGGCTTTGCAGGACTGGGCTCAGCTGCAGCTAGCTTCACCACTTTTGCAGACGTCGAAGTTCCAGCTTCCTGAACGCTTATACGGCCGGATTCCCGAGTGCTAACGGGACGAGAGGGAGATGCCGAAGGAGCCGGCTCCCGAACAGATGTCCTTGCAGATGTCGAAGGCTTATCGGAGGGCGATGGGCCAGGATCCCGAAGACTTGGCCTAGACGATGCCGAGGGACCAGAGTCTTTCACCGGTTTTCCGCCAGCTGGTGGTGGACCGGCAGGATCAGTTGCTGGCGGCGGAACAGGACGCGTGGAACCCACTCCTATCGATACGCGTTTGGGCGCTGGCGGAGGTCCTCTAGCCGGAGTCACATCGCCCGGGGTCGTGGTTGCTGTTGGCGTTCCACGTGGCGATGTGCCCGGAGGCGTTTTCGGCGGACGTGGTGGAGGAGGTCCTGGCGGACCACTTGGAGGTTTGCCACCCTGGCCTTGCTGGGCCATTTTCAATACAAATTGTTGTTAGCTTTGCAAGTTTCTCGATGAACAAAAATATTCGTTCCAGTTGCACGTTCTGAGGCAGACTGAATAATGCTGCGAAGGGACCCCGACGACAGGCACGTGTTTTGAAGTTTAAGCCATGTTTACTTGGATCTGGCTAAGAAACAGAACAGTACACAAAGACTTTCCAACCAAATGTGTTTTTTATAGAAGAAAATGGAAAGCGGATTTTGGTTACGTTTAATTACTTCAGGGGTATGTAGACTTCGGCTTGATTCCTTTCTTGTTATGTTATTAACGGTGCCATTGTACTATTTACTAAACACAATATATCCGAAAGCATAAATAACTGAAATATGAATTTTACCGTAAGTTCTGGCCATTCATATTTAATCCAACTCGGCACAGGTAGCAGGTGAAAAAAACAAGATCCAGACAACAGCTGCACATTCGGCGACCCTAGCATATGCATATTTCATGCGTTAACGCCAACATTTGAATTGCAGCAGAGAAGAAGTGGAGTGGTATGGAGTTTAAGGACTCCAGCCAGCGCAGGATGCTTTTGATTTATGGCAGTCGTTGCTGGATTCCCCCAGCCACAGCCCCACCCACTGCTCCACCCACTCAAACATCCTGGCCTTCTGGTCCGCACCTATCAGCGCCAGTTGAGTTGTCAGTTGGCGCATAAAGAATGCATGTAAAATAGCATAAAAGTGATAAGATCTCTCTCTCTCCATCAACTTGCCCATATTTGTTTTTCCGGGAGGATGCAGGTTCAGATTCTTCAAGCCGACTCCACAATCTTAACTGAATCCTGCATTTCTTAGACCGTATTGAACTTCACTTTTACTGGCAGTATCGTCTTATTAGACAGAAAGGACTCCACGAACCCAATCTATAATCTTTTCTTGAAAGTCAAAAGACGTTAGATATGTTTTGAAATATATAATATTTTATTTGTAAATCTTTGAAACCGCTTGACTTTATTTATATGTTTTCTATACCTTTCAGTAAAATGTTAAACTAATTACAGACTACATTACATTTTACTTTTTATTTGTCTGACTTTATTCAAATAATTCTGCCCTCTAACATCAAGAACAATTTAAGTACAAATATGACAAAATTTTGTTTTGCATTAAGATATCCTCTACATATATAGTTTTCAACTATTAATGAATAAAATATAAGTTTAAATAAGAATAAAAAGCTAAACCAGAAGTGAATGTTTAGCTTAAGCTTCATCAGCTTTATTTTCATTTAGCTGGACAAACTAGTTACTTGTTCATTTTTTCACATGGGTTTCAAAATGTTTGTTAAAAATGTACTTTAGTTGAATTATTTTCAGCTTTCCCCTTAAATGTGTTTCACTACGAGCGGAATTTCGAATGTTTTTTGTTGGATTGCGCCCCGGTACATTTTATTATAATATTTATTTCCTTAAATTTAGCTAGTTATTATTTTTCTAAGTTTTATCTCTTGGTTGGTGCAAAAGTTACATTTTCTCTTCATTATTGGTTTTTCTCTTCTATTTGCTTAACTATTTGGCTTTGAAAAATACTTTGGCGCCACAACGCAGTTAACAATTTCTGTATTCTATGTATCTATATTTTATTCTGTAGGATTTGTTTGCCGACCACGTTGAATAGTTAGGTAGATTTAATGAAAATGTTGATGGTATTCAGCAAATGTGATTACAAGGGGGATGCAACTTTTAAGCTACTTCTTTGGTAGGGTTGATTTTGCGGTTTGTTTTTGTGCACTCGAGAGCTTTATTTGTAAGCTTTCTATTTAACTTTAGTTTTGTGTTCGCTTATTAGATACATTTTTGTAATTGGTCCTTTGGTTTCAGAACGTTGCTTAAAAGGCACAATTGTTTAAACTAGTTTCATTCCATTATTTGTGAATTGCTGGTGTGCTGGGTGCCTCCGTGGCCACGCCCATTTAAGCCATTTCAGCCCAGTTCTTAGCTGCCTAGTACGGCTTGGCCGCATCCTTGGAACGTTTAAGTTGGACCTTCAGCCGCTTGGCGCCGATCTGAAAGCCATGCATCGCCTGGATGGCCGCGTTGGCCGAGTGTGGATTATCGTAGGACACAAAGCCGAAGCACTTCGACAGGTTGGTCTGCTTATCGATGAACACCTTGGCCGAAAGGACATTGCCGAAGGGAAGAAACGTCGACGCGAGATCTGTGTCAATGAACTCCTGAGGTAGGTGATAAATGAAAAGATTGCTGCCATCGGGACCTGGTCGGAGAAAGTAAGATTTATTTAGTATCAATAGGACATTCATGCTATGTTTTAGGTTAAGAAGATTTCTTTAATTGATAACAGCTATCTTCACAGAAATTTAATGATGCTAATTTTAAAAAAGGATTAAAAATGTAATATGCAAACACGGATAAATCCGTTGAACATAAATTAAACTGCAGTGCTGCTTTATAAATATTTGTAAGAGCATATCATTTTTGTGGCCCTACATTTCTCGTTGGAAAAAGGTGCCCTGTGCAGATATTTGCAGTACCAATCAAAAGTGTTCTCCGTAATTGAACCTTACCCTCGATCTGCTTGCCAGTCACGCCGGCAGCTGCCGCTTGAAGGGCGCTGGCGGTCAGAGGTTGAGATGCGGCTCCGTAGGCGGCTCCATTTGTCAGTCCGCTCAGGGGGGATGAATAGGGGTCAGCGGCATTTGGAGGCCCTAAAATGTTGGACGAATCAATTAAAATTATTGCCTACAAATATTTACCTTGAACAACTGAAAATAAGTGTGTAAACAGTTATTTCGTTTTCCCACAGAACGGCTTTTCCACAAACAAACACTTACAAGGAGGGACATGAACAAACACATACACATACATACACACACACATACAGTGGGACACAGAGATACACGCAGAGAAATATGTATGCAAATATGCACGAGAATCATATCTGAACAATAAACGAACCCGAGTTGACTTAACGCATATGAGATCTCGCTCCTTTATTTATGATTATTTTTAGTGTTCCTTCTCACACATTGTGCTCAGGCATTTCATGCTATTTTTTATGCCCTTTTTGTGGCTCTCGTCCTTTCATTATTAAATATTATTTTATTTTTTCCCTTTTGTTTGTGTATCAGGGAAAAATTGGTTAGCCTTTGTTGTTCGGGTCTCCCCGCGTGGCGCCTGTTTTTTAATTGAGCCTGCCGGGCCATGAAAAACAACAATTTTGAGGCGCCCCAGCAGTTCGCTTTGTGCATTGCCCAAAGTGGTTGTTCTTTTTGCATAATCTACAACAAATTTATTACTTTCTTTTGGTTCTTAATTTTATTTTATTGCATTTGGTGATGGAATTTTTTGTAGCAAACGAGAGCTTTGCATTATTTCCCATTCGGTGTGTAAATAAATAGAACAAATTTATAAATCCATAAAAGTTGCTAATTGAAAAGCTAATTGCAGTCGGCAATGTAAAAAATGCTCCCAAATTTATTACTTAATACTTGAATTCTTGTGCAAGTCTACCAATTTGGATTTGAGCGTATGTAAGCTCCAGCATTTAAATTTGACTACTATAAGAACGTCCACTTTGTTTTAAATATTTTGAAGAGATATCATATAAAATCTCTACATTTCTTTAAAAGCTTTTTACTTTGTTACTTAATATGATATTCCTGCTACAAGTCAATTTTATGCATACTCCTCCGCAAATCTTCCCCTTCTATATTGTTTTCATGTTTCTGATTTCGTGTTTTTTTTACTAATTTTTTGCTCCTTTTTTGCAACGCAATCAAGAATGTATTGTATGAAGCGCCATTTATTCATTGTTGTCAGTAACGGGTTGCTCTGGTTTCCTACCATTTTCCTGTTTTATCAATTTAACTTTGCTTTGTTAGTTAACAAAAAAATATTTTGTCTTATTGACAGAGATGTTCAGAACGTAAAAATACAAACATCGCAAGTAAAACGAGTATTTTGAGCTAGAAATTTTCACACAGAAATTTAGCCGAAAATTGCAATCAACTGATCGAAAAAGAGTAAGTAAAGTAGTTTGTTTTGACACGGGAATGGCTATATTTTATAGCCTCTGCAATTGTAGATAATCACCTGCAACATCAACTAAAACGAGTTTTGTGTAGAATTAGTACTTTAGTTAAAAATAGGACAGGACATGGCGGGGCAGGGTTGAAGGCTCATGCTGTTGGCAGAAGGGTTATATTACTTAGGATAATACCGCGTTTAGTTAGTGTGGTTAGGGTCCAGAGGCAATTCTCTGTTTTGATTACAATACACAACAGAACAGAAGAACACAAAAAGATGTACGAAACACATACAAATACAAGAAAAGAACAGATCATCCCAATACCCAATACATAGTGAGTGATATATATTTGCACACTTCTTTGAATTCCTAAAATTTTAATTTTTCGAGACCCCTTTCTTTAATTATTAAATCTATTAACATTGCCGAAAAATGTGATTTTAAAATTTTGTTTAAAGTATTCCATCAATAATTCATTAAAATAGGTATCTTTAGGTATCTTTCTGGGAAAGTTGAAATCAAATCTGTGCAATGATCTACAATTTAGAAATGATTTAATAACTAAACTGTCTTCAAATCATATGTCTTGCAACCCTCTTAAATGATCTACTTACACAGCGCATTGAAGGTCAGCGGTTGGCCGCCGCCCCCCTGCTGAGTGGGCGTGGCCGAGTGACCGATTAGCTGCGGCATGTTGTAGGGGGTCGCGATGGATGGTGGTGGGGGGGCGGCCGCGAAGGTCAGCCGCTGGTTGTGGAGGCCGCTGGTGGCGCTGCTGCTGTTGTTGTGGCCGCTGCTGCTGCTGTGGTGGAGGGACAGCTGGTGGTGGGCGGAGGGCGTGGCTAGTAGGGTTACCAGATTCTGCATAGACATGGATGGAGCGGCGAGCAGTCCAGCGCCAGCAGCATGCCCGGCGGCACTTGTGGGTGTTGGTGTGGGTGTGGGTGGTGGTGCGCCGCCAAGTGGGTTAGATGCTGCTGTGGC